CCAGTCGGTCTTCTGAGAAGAACAGACCCCCAGCTGTCCATTACCCTCTAAGGCAGGCGGGGGATCTGTGAGAAACAACAAACCGTAGGATCAGAGCAGGTGAAAAAACAGATATCCTACGGGCTATCTGCTGCGGCCTAGAAGACCCCGTTCGGCCTTCAAACCCTCAGAAAAGAATAACACCCAACTGTCCCAGCACCCTTCATGGCAAGTAGAAAAATCAGTGAGTGCCTTAAGAAAAAGGTGCCCAGGAAAACGCTTCAATCTAAGTTCCCGCCTGAAAGCCAGCAGACACGGACCCACTCCTCTGTGATCGGAGGAGTGGGTCAAAATCTTGTTGAGATGGCACTTTATTACCCCTATCTTTTGAGTCTTGGGCCCATATGACCAGAAGTCTTGCGTTGACTGGAAAGTGATCTGACCTTTGTCCCAAATGTCCGTCTGATTCTTCATTCTTGCTTCACAGTGCACAGTTGGTGGCTGAGCTTGGGTCACAATACTGCAACCTAGGTACTCAAATTTTCCATTCCGATCATCAGTCCTCACCAAAGTAAGATGGTGGTTGTAGATGGAGCTAAACCTCGAGAAGATTTCTCTAGCCTTATTCAGGTACGTCTGAGAAGATTTCGGAAGAAGGAGGAAAAGAGCCACATCATCGACCAGTCGGAACCCATCAACTAAACGTCTATCCTTCCCCAGACTGTTGAGAAAACAGACCTCTTGGTGAGCGCATAGTAGACAAGCGAGAGAAGGGCTGGAACTCTTTCCCATGGGAATTCCTACCACCTATCGAATGATGAAAGAAGAAACCTAAGAAAAAGAATTGTCGAGGTCGAACCGGACGAAGTTGCTTAGCACACAGAACTTAATCCTCACCCAACCTCTTTCCCCATGTCCTTTGCCAAAACATATCCCTTTTCCTCTTCTGTTGACGCGAACGGCATTGTGTCCTTTGGCCATGAAGTAATCACACAGCCATTCTACCGCCTGTATGCTGTCGACATGAGGTAGTTTAGTAAACATCTCCTTAATATCGAAACAGGATGAAAGCAGCGTACCGTCTGTCATCTTACCCAACTTACGATCCAAGCTGGCTATCCGTGTTTTAAGTAGGTTGGTGCTTTTCAGGTTAAAATGGCTAGAGTCCGGGATTCTCCATAGCATCCCATTAATCGCCTTGGCTACCAGCTTGCAAGCCATCAAACTTGGTTCAGAAAAGGAGGGTGCTATAGGCCTCCATCTACTAACATCCTTATGTTTGGGAATCCCGTACGCACTTCCCAGTTTACCCTTCTTGTTCCACTGAGCCAAACTGTGAGCTCAGATTTCGTAGTACTTATCGGGACAGGCTTTCAAAATTTCAACTTCAGATCGTTGATCTATCACAAAGCTACTGTTACCCTAGTACAATCCCATAAGTGCCTTGTGGTAGATTGTCTTGCAACAGACGAAAGAGTCTCCTATGTTGTGATCAATAAGGGAAACTACCAAATTACTCAGAGAGACTTTTAACACTTCCAAATCATTTACGTCAGCCGAGCGAAACGAAGTCTGCCTAGTGAAACAAGATTGGAGGGCATTATATCCTCCTACCCACTCATTTCTGCTTGGAACAGTTGCCAAACCATCAACCAAAGCTCTTTTCAATTTCCCCACAGACAGCGATACCCTAGGATGTAGGATATTATTGGCATTTTTGAGAGAGGTGGTTATTGCATTCATTTCAGAAAATCGGAAAGCTACATGCCCATCGCAGTCCCGTGGAAAATCAACATGTGCCTATTGGCAAGAGCAAGATTCTAAGTCAGTTGTTCGTTTGTGATTGTGTAGCCTGTCCGCATCCGACTTATTGCTTGTCCACACGATCTTCATCCTAGATATGATGAAATCAGCCAAAAGGCTGTCTGAACAACGTTGTCGAATAACAGCCTTGGCCAGGTCAAAAACGCTGCATTTCCTAATGCGATCATGATTCGAATCACGACAGGAGCAAGGCAATGGAACCCACAAACTTTCACCAGAGCACGACCCACCACACCTTTCAAAATGGACCTCGAGCGTTTTCTATGGGTCAAACCAATGGAATTGTATAATTTTATCAAATGGTGAAGCCCAGTCCTAAATAGTCCCTCCCTAGTACTAGGTACTTCCAACAGCGTGGCTAGAATATCACGTCTGAGGTGGGAGAAACTATGTTGACGTCGAATCCTTACCACACAGAAAATTCCACCGGCACAAAATTCTTGTTTGAAGTTTTTCAAGATAGATTTTTTGCCCTCAAATTCAACAACTGAAACGGTATTCACCAGTTCGAAGTAGCTGATGTAGGACCCAGGGTTCGATCCCTAGTTCCCCAACTTACCTGTGTACAATACCTGTGACAACTTGAAGAATTGAACCTGCGACCTGTAGAACCGCCAGTGGTAAGTAGGTCTGTCGTAGGTCTTTAGGTAGCCAGGATTTGATCCATAGACCTGTAGAGTAGAAG